CTCCAGGATGCACCCCTGCCGGCGGGACTGCTGGACCAGGCGGTGACTCTGCTTAGCCATTTGAGGAACCCGCAGGCTCTTTTTCAAACCAGCTGTGTGTGTGGGTTCCAGTTCTTCCACGTCCTCCCACACTTATCTTTTGTTTTTGAAAGAGAGATCAATTTGTTGTTCCACTTATAAATGCATTCTTTGGTTGATTCTTGCATGTGCCCTAACTGGGGATCAAACCCGAAACCTTGGTGCATCCAGACAGCGCTCTAATCAACCGAACTACCCAGCCAGGGCCTTACTGTGTTGTTTTTTAAAATACTTTAAAATTGATTTCAAAGAGGAAGGGGAGAAAAGCAATAATGAGAGAGAATCACTGATCAGCTGCCTCCTGTATTTTTGAAAGAGAGATCAATTTGTTGTTCCACTCATAAATGCATTCTTTGGTTGATTCTTGCATGTGCCCTGACCGGGGAGCAAACCCGAAACCTTGGTGTATCCAGACAGCGCTCTAATCAACTGAACTACCCAGCCAGGGCCTTACTGTGTTGTTTTTTAAAATACTTTAAAATTGATTTCAAAGAGGAAGGGGAGAAAAGCAATAATGAGAGAGAATCACTGATCAGCTGCCTCCTGTACTCCCCCCACTGGGGATTGAGCTGGAAACCCAGGCATGTGCCCTGACCGGTAATCAAACTGTGACTTCCTGGTTCATAGGTCGATGCTTAACCACTGAGCCACACTGGCCAGGTCACTCAACCGATTGATCTCTCACATCACTGGCTTCTCTGTTCCTGCCCGGAAGTAGATGGAGTCGCTGTAAAGCCTCCATGGCTCCCCAGCGCTTGAAAGGAAAGAACATACTGCTCACCGCAGCCCAGTACGTGACCTTCACTGCTGCTTCCCCTCACCTCTCGGACCTCAGGGCCCTGCACCTCCCAGCTCACTCTGACCCTGCCTCGCTGGCTTCCTGGTGTTGCCCCAAACACACCAGGCAGGACCCCCTCCCCGGGCCGTTGCACCTGCTGGGCCCTCTTGTCAAAATGCTTTTCCCATAGACCAGCGGTTCTCAACCCGTGGGTCGCGACCCCTTTGGCGGTCGAACGACCCTTTCACAGGGGTCGCCTAAGACCATCCTGCATATCAGATATTTACATGACAATTCATAACAGTAGCTACATTACAGTTATGAAGGAGCAACGAAAATAATTTTATGGTTGGGTCACAACATGAGGAACTGTATTTAAAGGGCCAGAAGGTTGAGAACCACTGCCATAGACCTTCCTGTAGTCCACACGGGCCTTTCTCAGAGAGGCCTTCTCTGCCTGGCCAAGGTCAAATAGCGGCCCCCCTCCCCCATCCCCTGACCCTATCATCCTTCAGTCTTCACCACGCACCCACATGAGGGCATGTTCTTACTTGCTCACTGCCTGGCTCCCTCACCACCATGCAGCTCCCTTTGACTTTCTGCCATATCCCCAGAGCATCTGAGCTGCCACCACAGGTGCTCAAAAAAAGTTGACTGCCCCGCCAACATGGCTCAGTGGGTGAGCATTGCTCTAGGAACCAGGAGGTCACCGTTCGATTCTCAGTCAGGGCACATGCCCGGGTTGCGGGCTCCATCCCTGGTGTGGGTGTGCAGGAGGCAGCCGATTCATTCTCTTATTGATGTTCCTATCGCTCTCTCCCTCTCCCTTCTTCTCTGAAATCAATAAAAAAATTTTTTAAAAATATATTTAAAAACATATTTTAG